TTAGTCCTGTGGTATATTTATTCGATGATGCGAACTTGCATAGAAAGGATTTAATGATCAGGCTGATTAAAATGTTGGTAAGCAATGTCGCTTGCATTGTTGTTGATGTCTGATCTATGGCCTCACGTACGTTTATTAAGCCTTCCTTTCGTTTCACCGACATATACCAATCCGCAAAGGTTACACTTTAATCCGTAGACGCGATTTGTTGATTTACAATTCAGATCATCGTAGTTTCTGGCAAAGTAAGATTTTTTATTTAAATTGCTAATAATTGAGCATCTGTTACCGGTATTAAGATTTTACAGTTTTTTTTAGTTTTTGGTTTTACATTTAGTAATGAGACAGTGTTGTTTAGAGTCCAAAATGTCTTGTAGAAGAATTAATTAAACACGGCCACGTACGAAGATTGTTGCTATTCATCAGTACAATGATCTGAATGCGTCATATTAGAGGTATTTGTCATTTCTGGTGATGAGGGGACACCTGCCATTTCAAACGACATCGTGTCCATGGTGACGTCCGTTTCTGACCTTTGTTTTATACTTGGTGACGTCCGAACCAGTATTTTGTTAAAATTCGTAATTTTATGCGCATTAGGCTACTGGGCGGATGATGTCCTCGGGTACAAAATGTCCAACAGCAGAGACACCAATCCAGTGGTTGTAAAAGAGAGGCGAAAAATATCAGAGGATCTTCAAACTCATAAGTAAATCAAAGTACTGACGTGCTGTTTACTTGGATGAACCCAAGATCTGAAGGCTGGCGAATAAATAAAAAAATGTTCTATCCATGTAGACTACTAGCAGTTGCTTTTTCAAGTCAAATATATTAAAGACTTTAAAATACTAGTATTTAACATTAAATCAATTGTCTAGGTTCTGCGGGCATAAAGGGTCGAAAGGGATAACAAGAAAAGTTAAAGGAGTTTTACACTGTCTGCAGACTGGATATCGGTAATACATGTAATTGATGCATTTCGATCAGACGTGGTGTTTAAAAAGACACTCTTCACCAATTCAAGCCTGGAGAAGTTTAAGTGATTATAATTCTACACTCATGTGACTCTTGCTTGTGTAAACAGTATGCTTTGGTTGCCCTTTTCCTTTAAATTTTACAGCGTACACCTTTTTTGTTCTTGAACAGTTTTAAATATTTCTAAATAACTAACTTTTTCTTAATCATGCCATAACTCCACCAATACATAACATATTAAGGTAACTTCTACCATGTTTATAATATCAATTGATTTATTTGTCTTGATGAATTGTTCAAACGGAATAGGTAAATCACAGAAGCATATATTGGTTCGCTTATATAGTTTAATCAGTAGTGGATCAAGAAACTATTAAAAGGGGGAGTGCTTACGTGTAATAAGGGGAGGAGGAAGGAGCCAAACCTTCTATAATGCTAAATACTAATATTTAAAAATAATTTGTGTATGAACAAGGATATCTTTAGTTAAAAGTCAGCGGGTCACCAACCTAACATAAAAGGATTTACAGATTAACATGCATAGACATCTACTGACTATTTGCGATATTCAAAATTCAAAGCCTATCGGAAATATCGCTTGGTTTGCCTGAATTCAGAAATTGGAATTAAGCACCTGAACTTCAAGGTCGTTGGGCAAGGGGCAAAACTGACTTACTTCTAGACTATTTTGACTAAAGAAAAGTTGGTTTTTTTTTTTGCTTTGCACTTTTCGAATCACCCCCCCCCACACACACACACACACACACACACACACACACACTCATTTCCCAGTCTAATCCGTATAATGAAGCAGAAAACAGTTACATATTACAACGATCCCTACCACATATAATATAGAAAATGCCCCCTCTCCAGAGTATAGACCTATAAATAAGAAGATGTGGTATGAGTGCCATGTCATGGCTCGGAAACCTCAAATTGTTTTTGGTGTTTAAAAAAGTGGGCTTTCTTCTTGTCAAAAAACAATAGAAACATTGCCCAAAGTCAGCAACTGAAAGCATTAAGAAATACATCTAGTTTGACCATCCAAATGCATTGTGTCATTCTTAAATTGTCTGCATGATGGTTACCATTTCTGAATGTGAGCGTTTAAATAGTAAGATCATGTTCCTGAAATGTTTTTACGTGCAACAATAGGTGTGAAATGACTTAATGGATTAGCACTGATGTACGTGTATTATATATTACACTTATACCTTGATATGATAGTTTACACTTTTCGGGCATCATAATAAGGTCATATGATCAGAATATAAACCCTGCTTTGTACTGAACCGACAAACTAAACCTGATTCCTGACGTGCTTTTTTCACTAGGAAACAGTCCACAGGAAGACATGTCAGCTTACGCGGACACATGATTCCGATTCCGAGTCGACCAGTCTATGCTCTAACTCCTAAATGCCGCGTGCCTAGCGGAGAAGCAGCAAAGACGTATTTTCAAGTCTTTGGTTTGACCCGTACGGGGTTCGTACTTCCAACTTCCCGCGCTCGAGAGCACGCTACAAAAAGACCATGAGAAGGTCAAAGAGAAATAAATTAGAATAAATTTTATAAACCATGTGTTACCATTTGTTTTGTTACTACTTATAACGACCTTGATATCAACTAAAAAAACTTTGAAATATTTTAAAAGTTCGTTTTGGTGACACACCCTGAAAAATTTCTGTTTTCTTCACGTTTACTTGAAATTATCTACATGTTTCTGACAGTAACAAAATCATACTGCAATAAACTATCTTAATACCAAACACTTCGATGAAGATTATAAATCTAGGCTTATGGGCAACAACTCATAAATCAATCAATTTAAAACCGTTACTAGTGATCAACCGCCTCGGTGGTCTCCTTGTAGCGTGCTTGCTTACGTTATAGCGAAGGAAGTCTTGGTTCGATCCTGGTAGCGTCAAATCAAAGTCTTGTAAATTAGTAATTATTGCTATTTATCTGCTAAACACGCGACATTAAGGAGTAAAACAAAGGCTGGTCGCCTTGAAGGCAGAACAATGTGTGCAGGTAGGGTAGAATTTTTTTTGTGGACTGTTACCTTTCAATAACCACGTGAAAAATCTTGCTCTGCGTTTCAGTCTTATATGTAGAAAGGTTCAAATGCAAATTTATATGTTCTCGGCCTGATATGCATGTACTATTTACCTTAACCATTATGGACAAATTGTATTTTTGCCTATTATCTAAAAACTATATTAAATAAGTAGAAACTGGAAAGGCAAAAATTATCTGCAATACAAGATCTACAAAATTGCGAAAATGACCCACAAAAATCTTTGGATGACTACTTACTTAAATGACGATCTAATTTAAGCGTTTTTGTCAATTATCTCAAAATAGAAAGGTAAAAAGGAACCATGCTTATGTTTAGAACAGCAGACGATTCTTGGATGACTGTTGGACCAAAACAGTTGGAAAAACAAATAATTACGTAGTTGAATTTGAAAAACAAGTTATGCCAATTCTGGTTAAGGCCATATATCAACTCCATGAATAGGGTATAGCAAATACTCCAAGGTATACTCGTACAATCAATGTCTGTGTAAAATGAAGACTTAAGAAAATGTTGACTCAGCAATGTGACAACTTCTATTTATAGGTATAAAATCCCCTTAAATCCTTTAAAGTTGATCTTAAATTGCAATTGACATGCTACATATGCAAAAAATACAACATTTAAAGAAATATATGTATTTGTATATGTTACAGTGTTACACCTCAATATTAATTAAAAAGACAAAATCGAGTTCATATACAATATTTATATATTGCAAACATGTAACCAACTTTTCACATCGAGCAACAACCTTAAAACTGACCAGAATATACAATAAATCTGTCTTTATCTTTGAATGTTAAACATATTAAAATGATCAGAAACTTTAAGTATTCTACAGTGGCGACTTTATGGCCAAACAGCACTAATTAATTGTGACAGTTCTATAGAGTTCATTCAGATGCTAAGAAAATATAACTATTTAACGGTTAACAGGTGTCACAGTTAAAGTTCTTGTAATGTCTATTACACAAATAATATTTAAATTAGCCTTTTAACATACAGGCATTTTCTAAATTTAGGCATTTTATATAAAGTGTCTGAAAACAGTATGCATTTTATAAAATGCCTGTTAGAAGTAGGCATTCTATATATTGACTATTTTTTTTCAGGCAATTAACAATATGCCAAAAATCATTTCATACAATGTAATGTTCACAAAAACTGAGCCATTGGAAATATTGAAAAACAGGGCAGTTTTATATCTCCAATTACTGAATTCTAACGCTTGCATTTTAAGAGTTATAACAAATTAGGAATAAAATCTACATATTTGTTTAAATTCCCACAATCACTGAACTCGACAATTATTAGTTATTTGATAAAATGTTTTGATGGCAGGTTCTGTTTCTCATTTGTCCTGATTTTTTGCAAATACATCGTTTGGCTTTGAATTTGGTTTTAGCACTACACCATATTGATTGAAACCCGGACCATGACACATTAAGCTCTGTCAATACTTTTTTCAGAAAAAAAACATTTAGCGTTCGAAACGCACGAGGCTTCGCAAATAGCATACACATGAATATCTTCTTTTTCATGTTTTTTGCAGATCACGTGTTATGAGTATGGCATTCCTTCATCAATTTTGAATATGAAAAAAACCTTATTATAGACATACACACTTTCTAAGCTAGTATTTGAAGAACAAATTTAATTTTACTGAACCATTTGTTATTTTCTTTGAAATATATTGTATTTTTGGTCATATGTATTTCAAAGACATTCATTTTCTACAAATTACCTGAAACTGAACATGCAGCTTGTTGAATTTTAGTTCTTACAAAATGACTGTATTTTTAGTCATTTTATGTAATGCCGGTCAAGGTTAGGCATTTTATAAATTGCTTTAAAATTCAGTCATTCTTCAAAATTCCCAAATTAAGAATATGCCTGTTACATATATATGTTTATCATTGTGATTTCGTTATCTGTTTCAGATGGCCTTGCTTGTTAGACCCAACCACTACAGCTGGTACATTTCTGAGGTACAGGGATACTAACTATCTACAAGCAGTCTCTCCAAAGGAAATGGAATCGGAACGCATAAGGAAGGCATTACTAGGAGGTCTGAGGTAATGTCACATTGAGTTGTGCAAACGTTGGTTAAGATCACAAGATAGTCCTTACAATACTATCACTATTTTATTTGAACTAAATTCAATTCTGTTCATACTTATATTGCATTAAAGAACACGATAAGCTGAAACGATAGTACTTGATATGAATTTGCGAAGGAAATATAAACAAACAGTTTTAAAATGTGTACTAGGTTCAAAATCCCTAAATGCGAGACGACTTGCTCTGCTAAATATTTTTTAAAACAATAATTATATGAACCTTTCGGGATGGAAAATACTTACGAAGCAAACGAAAGATATCGATTTCAGTGTGGACGACACAAAACTGTTAATACATGACTTTAGGGTGATTTTGTTTTAAGATTTTTATGAGACAATTACTTTTAAGGGAATTCATGCTTTAGTTTTTCAAACAAATTTTTTGCACTTATTAACCATCGTCTTTTTTTGGGAATTACTAAACAAACATTCAGAAGATACGAAATTATTGAGACAGTGGCATTTCGCGGATAAGGCAACACTCATTTAAAGAAGCAAATGACCAGCATTATGAAAATTGGTATAAAGATATTAGTATATAAAATTCTGGAACAGACTTCAATTATGTAGTTTAGACATTAGAAAATAATTCCGAAGGGCAAAAAGATAAAGGCAGATGATTGTTAGATCTATTTCATTACTATTTAATTGATTGGATCTTTGGAAGAATAAATGTTACATATATCAATGTCAATATTCAGATGCAGTTCAACAACTTAATGCATACACATATTTATCAATTCAAAATTCCGCCCAATTGCACATATTTCGTCTTAATGCACCTGTTTACACTGCATCACTTATATTACCTTTAACTTTCATTTTTTTAGATATGGAAAACCATTGATAATAGATTTAGGTGAAATAGACAGATTTGATATGATCACAACACAGATCAATAGAGTACAAGAAGGTTTAATGGAAAAAATTCTTAATAAAAGTATTTTACAGGTAGAAAAGTAAGTTAATTTCTACTTTTAGTTTACATTTTTTCAAAAACACATATGGATTACAGTCTTCATATTCCTGTCTCGTTTGTAATTGCAACATTTATACCAAGGTAATTTTCTGTATTCAGTTTTGCCTTACTGGTCGTAAAAATATCTTAAAGGCAATTTCTGTCAGTTCGATGTCAAAGGTAAATGGTGAAAACTCTAAAAATTGTGATAATAGTCAACAGAGATTCCTTTTGTGGACCCTTCATTCGCCTTGTAAGTTGATGCTAAATACGGATAAACATTCCAGAACCCTATCAAAATCAGTAATGCAATATTATAAAAAAAAATACATTGCTAACAAATAAAAATTATTCTATGAGAGAATAACTTTTACATATCCTAACCGCTTCAATGCAAAAACACAGCGGTTATTGTCGACATCTAGCAATTAGTTTTCCTAAAACCAGCGCTAAGGACCGCCTTGGTGTTGCAGCGATTGGTGATCCTTGTTCCGCGATGAAGTCCGTACTGTAACTGAGATAATGAGCAGCTACAAAAAAATGTTTACTTAAAGGTTGTTTTTTTTTTTTACTTTTAGTCTTATACTTTTATTTATATATTTTCAAGTTGAGATAGCTGATGATAAAGGAGCAATGATATCGTACAAAAGATGTTAAGTGTTGTCATAATATATTTATATATATTATAAAGTGCCTATAAAATCAACCTAACAATGTTAGAGTAGATCTGATTCTTTATGTCCTCCCCACCGGATCTGGCACCTGTACTTTTCTGTTAACGTCTATGGCAACATCGTCTAGTATTGAGCAACCGCCTTATCCCCTTCTTTAACTATAGCTGATAAAAATCAGCTTTCGATTCGGGAGGTGTTACCTTCTCGTAGGTAAAGAAACCAGGACGACTCATCACGATACACGAAGAATTTTAAGTGTACATGAATGATCATCTACTCATTTCTTTGATATAATTGCAAGATGCTAATTTTTAAGTAGATCTGATTCTTTACTCCCTCAACAACCGGGGCTGGAAACTGTACTTTTTCTTATCGTTTAACAGATGAAAATATAAAATTGTGTTAGTTAAATTGTATTAAGTTCAAGAGATTTTTGATGCTTCAGCTACGTATTCTTGAATCTGAAGGACTGAATGAGAGAAATGAAAACCCGTTTTATCAAAAACGAAAGGAACAAATCTTGAACGTCATACTATTCAACTACCACAATTATCTGTTTTGATCTGTGAACCGCAATGCACGATATGCTGCAAAAATTTCTTCACAGCATCCGATTTTACCTGAATGGCTGCACGCGCCTGACGAAGCTAGTTTGTTTAGCGAAATATTGCGTGAATATATTAAATATAAAAACTATTTTCATAATTCTCATTAGCGTGTTAAAGTTACATTCTTAGGCACACATATATATATATATATGTTTATATATATAAACGAGTCTAAATTGAAAACAACATACAAACCTATGATTGAGTTGGATAAAGACCGCAATTTTTATACGTGTGCATGTAAAATAAATTTCTTGACTGAGGGGTCTAAATACAGCACAAACAACATTTTCCAAAAGACCAAAAAAGTGAAAAGTATATTTTAACAAAACGCATTTGACAAACAGGTCGAACAACTGATGTTCTTAAACCCTGCTGACTGCCATTGACGATTGCCAAATAAATTGATCACCAGATGTAACATGGATCTTATATTTAATTTAATACCAAACAGAAAATAATAAACTTGCAGAAAAGATGGTATACCGCAAACATGAGGTGCAAAAATTTGTACACCATATCCGGATTTCGACAATTAATGTCTCTTCAGTGATGTTAGGAATCGAAACGGTATTTGGAAGGCCATATAATTTACCTTAATTTAGGATAGACTCTTGAATTTTGAAGAGTCGAAATAGGATGAACGGATCATATAAACCCGAAGGCAAATATAATACAAGCCCAAACGAAAAAATATAAATAAGTCTAAATTGAAAACAACGTTCAAACCTATGATTGAGTTGGATAAAAACCGCAATTTTTATACGTGTGCATGCAAAACAAATTTCTTGGTAGAGGGGTCTAAATACAGCACAAACAACATTTTCCAAAAGACCAAAAAAGTGAAAAAGTACATTTAAACAAAACGCATTTGACTAACAGGTCGAACAATGGATGTTCTTAAACCCTGCTGACTGCCATTGGCGATTGCCAAATAAACGGATCACAAGATGTAACAAAATGGATCTTTATTATTAATTTAATACCAAACAGAAAATAATAAACTTGCAGAAAAGATGGTATACCGCAAACATTAGGTGCAAAAATTTGTACACCATATCCGGATTTCGACAATTAATGTCTCTTCAGTGATGTTAGGAATCGAAACGGACAACGCTTGTATGATTTTGTATAATTCTGAAATTTCAAAAATGAGGTAGGTTAAGTATTTACAACAGAGACTCCATAGATATGCATCTAAAAAGAATAGTAATGTGCGATATAAACTGGTACAGTTCTAAAATTTCACAGGCGACGAAGGTTAAGTAATTACAATAGAGACTTCGTAGAAATACATTCCCAATGAACAGCACTGGTCGATTTGAACTGGTATAATACAATAATTTCAAATTTTGCCGAAGATTTAGTAATTACAATGAGGTTGTGTATTAATACATCCCAAATGAATAGCACCGTGATATTTAAACTGGTATAATTCTAGAATTTCCGATTTGACGAAGGTAAAGGAATTACAACAGAGACTGCGAAGTTATACTATCCGAACGAATAGCACTGTGCGATTAAAACTTCACCTTTTCATTGATCCCATTTGGTGCAAACGTTTTTAATTTTCTTATCCAAAATATTTCCCGAGTGAGTCTCTCCTCTCAAGTCCAAGCAGTGTTGTGGTCTATGATGGTAATATTCAGTCGATTGAGATCTGCCTTAGTGTGTGCAGGAGATCTCAAATGTCGACTGAGAGGAAGGTCTGGTTTGTATTTATAGTCGCTACGATGGCCGTTCATACGTTTGTGAAATGGCTGCTCAGACTCACCAACATATTGTTTACCACATTTACACTTTTGAAGATACACAGCATTTTTAGTCTTGAATTAACATTGCAAAATATTGTGTATTTTGTTCCAGTGGAGTGACTGTTTGAAGACTCTGGGTATTCAGTATTTGCTTTAAAGTCAGACATCGTTTGTTCGAACACCTCTTGCAAGAGCCCACTGACGGAGAGCCTGATTAAGAGGATAAATCAGCTCTAAACAGCAAGTCTTTAAGGCTTTTGGGCCTACGGAAATCCAGTACGGAAGGGAGGGAGGGGGGGGGGGGGGCTCGGGGAAGAACTTGGATAATTTAAGATGTTTTCGATTTCTTTTCAATGTTCGCGGATAAGGTATGATAACTTGTCGACTTTGGGATGGAAAGTCAAATTGCACTCTTTTGTTGATCTTTTCTCTTAATATTGTAAAAGTTCATCTCATGTCGGCAGATGTTGTTAGCACGAGAGAAACCTCTATCAATGTCTTTTCTTCTGTAGCATTGTTACATTACATTAGAACTATTCTTGTTTTCACTGCCTGTTAATTTTCTAAAATGTTTGAGAGATAATGCACTTGACAAGGGATGCATAAATACATTTTCTCCAATATACAGACTGGTCAGTATAATTCGTGTTGTAGCTCTTTTCCGCTTTCTTAAATCAGTAAGATTGGAACCTTTACATGATAAAAAGAGAAAACTCCACCCAGTTCGTTTTTCCAATAAAGGAACTGATGCTATCGACAACAGCAACGTTCTGCATCACAATGAGATAACATCTAAAGTTCCACTTTATTTTCAAAATCAGTCTGTTCCTATTGTATCCTACAGTTACACCAAAACCATTGCACTTAAAGTATTTAACTATAAACAGACATTGCAGAACCTCGATTTAGAAGAATACATTAAAAAAACCTCTGACATGTGACTGTTCCCACTCGCCTTATATTTACAACCCCTCTAGATCTGTTCATGTTATTACTGGTGATCTAAACATAATTAAACATGACCATCTCCGAACGGTGATATCTCATGTTCCCTAAGTTCAGAGAACCCCAACACATCAATTGGAACTATAACTTCAAAATAATAATAGATTCCATTGAGGACTATGCCAGAGCATGGGCTAAACGAGGAGAAGTTGAACTGGACACTTTGTCAGAATGGGTCAAAGCAATCAGTTCTCTGATAAAACGTCAAATTCATAAGTTGAAAAACTGTGTGAATGATCGACCAAAGTCCGTTTTTAGAGACAAAGAAGATGTGAAATGTCCATCATCTCTTCACGATAAATATGTTGTTGTTCCTGTGGACAAAGCTTTAAATAGTATTGTTTTTGTATGTAAATCGTTCTACTACCAATGTCATTTAAAAGAATTAGGAATAAATGAGCCCTCAGGTAATCCCACATACAAAATCATATCATTTGACAAGGATGAGATTTTGGCACGCGACATTCAATTTAATGTGATAAAATGCACTTGTCGTACTAAACCTAATACACATACAGTATTGAAACGTCACAACTAAGAATTAGTAATTGTTCGTTGTTATTGGTGGAACATAAAGAATTATCTAAAATATACATTTAACCTTGCTTCCGTCGAATTTTCACTTGTAGTTATACAAAAAAAATATTGATATGCATATTTTATATTCATACATGTTTTTATACGACCGCAAATTTTTTTGCGTCCGTATTATGTTATGACGATGTCTGCGTCGGCGTCCGAAGACATTTTGGTTCGCAGACAATAACTTGAGTATAAGTGTATGGATCTCTATGAAATTTTAGCACAAGGTCACAAGGTTCCATTCCACTAAAGGATGGTTGGGATTGTTTTTTTTTTTTGTTTTTTTTTGGGGGGGTATTGTCCTAGAGGTTTTGTTTTTAGGGGCCAAAAAAGGTGTTTTACTGGTTCATAGAAAATAAATCGGTTCGCAGACAATAACTTTAGTATAAGTGTATGGATCTGTATGAAATTTAAGCACAAGGTTCCATACCACAATAGGAGGGTGGGATTGATTTTGGGGGTTATTGTCATAGCTGTTTTGTAATTAGAGGCCAAAAAGGGGCCAAAACAATTTTTTTTTTTTGGTTTGCAGACAATAACTTGAGTATAAGTGTATGGATCTCTATTTATTTTGGGGCCTGTCTTCAAATTGGTCCACATTAAGGTCCAAAGGGTCCAAAATTTAACTTTGTTTGATTAAAAAAAAAATTAATTGTTTGGGGTCTATGATATGCTGAATCTAAGCGTGTATTTAAAATTTTTGATTTTGAGCACAGTATTCAAGTTGGTCCAAATTGGGGTTCAAAATTGTTTGATTTCATCAAAAATTGAATTATTGGTGTTCTTTGATATGCCCAATCCAACAGTGTTTTATGTTTTAGATTTTGGGCCCGGTTTTCAAGCTGGTCCAAATTGGGGTCCAAAATTAAACTTTGTTTGATTTCATAAAAAAATGAATTATTGGTGTTCTTAAGTTTGATGTGCCCAATTTAACATTGTTTTATATTTATGATTTTGGGCCCGTTTTCAAACTGAACCATATTAAGGTTCAAAGGGTCCAAAATTAAACTTTGTTTGATTTCCTCAAAAAATGAATTCTTGAGGTTCTTTGATCTGCTGAATCTCAGCATATAATTAGATTTGATTTTGGGAACAGTTTTCAATTTGGTTGAAATTGGGGTCCAAAATTAAACTTTGTTTGATTTTAACAAAAAATGAATATATGGGGTTCTTTGATATGCCGAATTAAAGTGTGTATTTAGATTATGGATTTTGGGTCCTGTTATTAAATTGGTCTACATTGAGGTCCAAAGGGCCCAAAATTAAACTTTGTTTGATTTCTTCAAAATTTTATTCTTGGGGTTCTTTGATATGCTGATTCCATCCATGTATTTAGAATTTGGATATTGGACCACGATTGGGTAAATGTCCAATTTTAAATTATTAACGTACTTAGACCACATTCATTCTGTGTCAGAAACTATGCTATAGCAAGTATTTAATCAGAATCAAAATCACAGCTGTATAGCACAATTGATAGAAATGTTAAGTTGAGTCGTAGTTAAAAATAAATATAGCATCATATTCTAATTTTAAGAATTATGTATAAATATAGAAATTTACTGTTCATTATTAGATATTTGGAAAGAGGTAAGTTTTATAGATTTAGGTTTAGATTTTTCAACGAATGGTTATGTTGAATGAGGTTGTTTGCTACTGGATCGTCTGTTTTGTTTGTTATTATTTTTGAAAAGTTCAGTAACATTTTTTGGTACAGTGTATCGCCTGTTTGTCCTACATATATAAGTTTTTCGCATTTTGTACAGTTTATTGCATACACTACGCCCACAGTTTTACAGTCTATTTGTCCCTGAATGGTATATTCTTTTCCGGTGTTATCACAGAATACTTTGGCTTCATCAATGTGTGAACATAATGCGTAATTTTTTCCGCATGGTCCACAGCTATTACTCTGTTTGTAAAATAATAAATAATGTTTCTTGTGCACTAAGATGTCTTTTATGTTGTTGTCGCGTTTGAACGCTACGATAGGCGGATCGGGGAATAATTTTTTTAGTTTATTGGATTGGTGTAGAATTTTCAAATGTTTTCTGATAATGGAACGTATATTAGGAAGCACTTTGGAAAAAGTAATTACTAAAGGTACTCTGTTGTTTTCGTTCTTTCTTTTGTGCTGTTACAGTAAAAGATCGTCCCGGTTTATATAATAATTCGTCTAAATAACAGCTCAACAATGTTAGATCTGTAAATTTGCGGAAGCAAATTTTTTGTTCTTCCCTGGCCGAGATTCGAACTCATGCTACTGAGATATCGAGCCTAGGTGGTCGAGTGGTCTAGCGCGTCGGGCATAGTGCAAGGCGATTTGGTGCCACGATATCTCAGTAGCATGAGTTCGAATCCCGGCCAGGGAAGAACAAAAAATTTGCGGAAACAGATCTAACATTTTTGGGCTGTTATTTAGACGAATAATGTTTACAGAATGTGTTTTCAGCCTTGTATCACCATCACTGGTGATCCGATGGATAAAATCTGTCGTAGAGTTGTCACTGGTTCAAACGTACTTATATTATATATATATATATATATATATATTATGAGGCGAATCCGTTTAAAAACTTAGCTAATATTGCCTATTAACAAATAAATAAATTTTAAATTTTTGGTGTACTAAGATATAATGGTCCATTAATAAAATGAATAAATTAAATTCTTGATGTACTTGATTATGCTGAATCTAACCGTGTATTTAGATTTTGGATATTGGACCATAATATGTAAAATCCAATTTCAAATTTTTCAGCTCTTTGACCACATTCATTCTGTGACAGAAACCTATGATGTGTCAAATATTTAATCACAATCCAAATTTAGAGCTGTATCAAGCTTGAAAGTAGTGGCCATACTTGCCCCCAACTGTTCAGGGTTCGACCACTGCGTTCGTATCCAGCTGCGCCCAGCGGAGCATTTTATTTACTCTTTTTTTTCACTGTAAGCCTGTATTTTTGTGTTTTATTTGTATATGTGTCACATACGTATACATGTATTTAGTTTAATGATAATAAAGATCGGTTTTTCCCTTTGTTGATAGTTTCGAGACTTTGGTTAAAGATGAAGACGGAGATGAGTATAAACCGGACAAATTTACTGGAGGAATGGCAGACCAGTTTGTATTTCTTGTAATCATTGCTGGAGAAGTACCCCCACCAGACGCCTCCAACAAAATGTTTTATATATTGGTCAACTGATCTTTATGTGTGATATGACTTTAAAATGCAATAGATGTTTTTTTTTATTGTTAATGTCTATTTATCTGCACATAATTAAACGAAAAAAGTACAATAATTTATTTTTCTGCCCTTATAAAGACCGAACATAAACATTCACCCAAGACAAAAGATACCAAAGGGATATTCAAACTCATAAGTTGAAAACTAACTGACAATGCCAAGGCAACAAAAAAACGACGAAAAAACAAACAACAGTATACAAAACACAACATAGAAAACTGAAGACTGAGCAACACGAGCCACCAACACAAGGGGTGATCTCAGGTGCTCAGTAAGGGTAAGCAGATTCTGCTTCACATGTGACAACCGTCGTGTTACTCCTATATGTTATATCAAGTGATTTCACATCACACATAAGCGGATTGGTAATTAACTCTTATCTAACCCTAAGACATCCCCAAAGTCTAGACCAACGTTTACCTAAATGTTTCCTACCCTGAATGTAAAGTTTTGAAATTGAAACATGTTTTTCATGACAAAGGATAGACGAGACTGTTACCGGTATAAACAACACTAACATTGAAAAATTAAAAAGCACAAGGAACAACACTTTTAACTAAAGCAAGAACAACAAGAATCCATTAAAAACAAATCTGGTGGTGATCTCAGGTGCACCGGTAGGGTCAGCAGATCCTGTTTCACATGTGGCATCCTGTTTCACATGTTGCTCATGTAAGTACAAACCCGGTTATGAGTCTAATTCGGTAGGTCACATTCGTGGAAAAGAGGACGGGATTGTGGTTACAACAATTGGAACATATACCTCGTCATCTGTGAAACAGATATTCCATAACGGTCAACCAACTCGCGATGGCGTCCATAAAATTTTTGAAGGGATGATTAAAACTTCACCTCTTGGTTCAACATCAATTAACCCTCTATCAAGGAAATCGTGATAAAAAATGCAAGGTCTTGAATATCGAATCAACTGGGAGATATATACTCCATATGAGGTGCTGCTGGAATGTTGCTACATAGAAATGGAAAGTTCACAATTGGGAAGCTGAAATCACCCTTTTGTCGTACAGTACTGTTCTCAACCGACTCTCATTGTCAATTTCTAGATGTAAGTCAAGATATGAGGCAGACTTAACTGTATCTGTTGTATGAAAATGACCATTGATCAGCAAATGCAAATAATCTTGATTTTCACGTTTATTCCTGGACGAGATAGATCTAGGGATGACCATATATACCAGTACATAAACTAATCATTCATCTGCATCTTAAAACCTGCGGCGTATCCCCCTACTTGACTAGTTAGAATCATGTGCAAAACAGTGTAGCCGAGACCATTGATTGGCGCGCTAAAATATCCCATTGACTGGGTCAGATTAGGTGAACGTTCGTCTGTAACGCCCACAACTCACGACGTATTTATTATAGACATTTAAACTGTGGGGTCACCAAAGGGTCTCAAAGCCTAAATAAAATAATTCGAAAAACTAATCAGGAATAACCTTTGTGTTTTGGTTTATATTGAATACTTAAACGTTCTTTACTTGTGTTTTTGTTATGTTTTGATAATGAATTTTTATGATATCGGACGTTCTTTCAGCAAAAAAGGATTTAACTGGCTTTAAAAGTTACAATGGATGTGTTGATTATTATATTTTTTTCGGACGTCAAAGCGATTTAACAATTGCGGTTGTCCAATTATGTCAACTTTTAACTTTTATCTGGTCAAAATTTTATTTTAGAACGAATGCATGATCAACTTTAAAAAGTGTGCAAACACAAAACATATAGACAAAATATACTTCTTTCCTTTCTTTTTCGTACTTGCAAGTTATTAGACAGTAAAAAGGCTATTTGGATCAAGCCTTGTGAAATTTGCATTTACGTTTTTGAATATGTACAGTCAAGTTTAGCGATTGATAATTCATTGATAACATTCTGGCGTATCACAAACAAACAACTTGTAACGTCAAATTTGATTGGCCGAAAGATTTTAGTACAACAACAATTGTAGTGTGCACGTGAATTGACACAGGTGACCGACAATGGAATGTACTACGTTACTACGAACGTAAAAAACAATGATTTTTGGTCCAAATAATTATATAAGTATTTTGTGAATTTCAAATAGTGGGGTCGAAATATTATACTAATAATTTGTGTTAAGTAATATTCTTTATGCATGCAGCACTTGTACCGCACTATGAAAAATATAAGGATAAAATAAAATACATGTGCCGCTTTTATACGGATGCATGTATGAACCACTTTAATTTCTTTCATATTGACGCTAGGTTATTATCCTGACAATGTCGTAATTACTTATAATAAGGATCTCATGATACTGATCCATTTCAAATTTATGATGGGTTGCACATTCCTCTTTTATTGTTTTCATGCTATAAAACGAAAATAAAGTAGCTAAGCGTTTGGTCATTCAGAAATGACGTGTCATAAACGAGCAAATTGTCCCCGAAAGATCGTATCATGTGTGCACGTGAATATAGATGTACTATGCAATGTACTATCATGGTCACCACGAAATTCAAATGAATTCAGTGAAGGCATGTTGGTGTAAAAAGGTTTGAAATGTTTCATCGGCGAAGATTTTATTTTTGCATGTGTCGAACTAAAAAATAAATAAATACTTGTGAGAAATGTCGTAGTTTATAAGGAACTATATAAATGTACTGTTTTCGATTGTAATTGGTTGAAAATTTATCCTTTAATTTCATACCGTAAGAATAGAGCTTTGCATAACATTGTTGAACTATCCGCCAAAGTAACGTGTGGCATGCGTGCGTATTAAAATGAAATACAAAATCATACATGTATGATAAACTTATAAACGAAATATTAAGAAATTAAGGATGACTACTGTAAAAGTATGTACAAAAATGGAGTCACCTTTTATCAATACATTTAGTGAATAACCACACTGTTTAAAACTGATTGTTTTCTATGCAACTATTTAAATATTTACAATATATAATTTTCAACCGAGGACAGCAAAACAGTTAATTATAAATTAAGAAAGTATATCGCTGGAGTTTATAAAGTACATTTCCTTCCACTGTGTCATGGTTTGCCATCTCCATTTTTTCTCTAAACAAAGCATGGCTGGTTACATGTTCTGAATTTACTTAGAATTTCGGGATTTTTTTTTCAAAATTAAGTAAACTAAATCAGAAAAAAAAATCACACTATCCTAAAACTTATGAAAGAATATGAATAATGAACATGACAGTTTATAACACAAACCCATTTACTATAAAAATCGAGCAATATCTTTAGTATGTAATTTGGTTATTTTTGTAGTTAAGTACGGTTTCATTTCAAGTACAACGTTAATTCATCAAGTCCATTGAATAAAAGATAAGGCAGGGTGAGCAACTTGACAAAAAAAAAAGGCAGGGTGACGATTTATGTGAAAAAATCGGGATAAACTAATAAATATAGTGAGGACCTAACAGACTGAAAAACAGAAAGACAGGACAGAGATAACAACTAAAAAAAATGCAGGACAAAATGTTTCATCCAAGTCCCCCACCCCCAATCAAAATAAAGTGGTAGCTCCCTTAATCCAGAACCAATTGAGAGGAGACAGTTGAATTAAATATTTCGACGTGACTGTTAAGATTAAAGTTTAAAATTTTACATGCACATGTATAAAAGCTAGAATTGCCATGGGATAATCAAGAACACAATCATGTATGTGAATACGACGATGGAAGTTTTTAACGACCTTGACCGGCTACGTGAATACTGATCAGTCCATTCAGCTTCATAGTACGCGTGTTCTATTTTCGCAGGTTTGAGGTTGAAGGTTTGAAATGACCAATGAAAACGATCGTTCCTTAACGAGTTAATCTAATAAAGTTTGTTTGACTGATTATGTTGCACGACCTTTCGCTAAGCTTGGCCGCAGTTCAGTATACAATGTATAGTTTGATGATCTTTTCTGCTAACTACTATACTTGTGAAAAACCCTTGGCAACAGAAACATATTCAGTTTTTTTTTAATTGACCCAATTTACATAGTAATGGACGACTTCGTACATTTTATGATCGCAAATGAAATATGTATATATTATACTGTGCACTGTAGTTCGTATATATACTGAGACCCTTTGGCAACCCCACAGTTTAAATTTTTATAATAAATACGTCGTGAGTTGTGGGCGTTACAGACGAACGTTCACCTAATCTGACCCAGTCAATGGGATATTTTAGCGCGCCAATCAATGGTCTCGGCTACACTGTTTTGCACATGATTCTATTATTATTTTGAATAAACAAACACATATTTGATATTTGATATTGTCTTGTAATGTTTTGTTTATCGACCGTGCAAGACCCTCATGGGTAGTCAAGGTCGTTAAAAACCACCCTCATCATTACTCGCTATAGATATTTCCAAGAAAGTGTGTTAGAATATATATGTTATGTGGTGTATATCTGTTATCTGCCCTTGATCTCGTTTACATAGATCATTGAGTTGTTCAGTATATATGATACTTGAAGTAAAACTGTTATCTTAAATTCTTTCAAGATAAATTCAGTCATGATGAGAAAAGCACGTGATACATTTCAGCGTGCGAACTTGTTATAAGTCAGTATTATTTCTGTAATTCGGACGCATCAAATTATGTTTTACTTAAGATGAATTTATCTATTCTTTGTATGTTCCTTTCAGTCATAAAGCTCCTGAAGATTTCAATTATTTCTACATGCTTTCGATTTTTAGATTGGTTGTTTCGGATGAAGGTAAATCTAGAAAAGCGCCTCTGACGCTAGGAAATTTATAAAGGGATATTTTCAATTTTTAAGATGCTAACAATATTCTAGTTCTAAATAAAGACACTTTCCTCTCTTTGGTGCCAGTGTCTTTATTGGTAAGGGGCCTCGGTGGCCGAGTGGTCTTAGTAGTTCATCTACTGTATCACTAGCCTGTTAAAACTGAGGTTGTGAGTTCGACTTCAATCTTATTGACAATGATTGTTAATTTTCCTGCCGAAGGTCGGTGGTTCTCTCGGGGTACTCCAGCTTCCCTCACCAATATAAACTGACCGCCACGATATAATCAATAGTCCTGAA